AAGATCACTAAATCTTGTGGCTGTAAAGATCCCTAAATCGTGTGGCTGCAAAGATCACTAAATTTTGTGGCTTTAAAGATCCCTAAATCTTGTGGCTGCAAAGATCACTAAATCTTGTGGATGTAAAGATCACTAAATCTTGTGGCTGTAAAGATCACTAAATCTTGTGGCTGTAAAGATCACTAAATCTTGTGGCTGTAAAGATCACTAAATTTTGCGGCTGTAAAGATCCCTAAATCTTGTGGCTGCAAAGATCACTAAATCTTGTTGCTGTAAAGATCACTAAATCTTGTGGCTGTAAAGATCACTAAATCTTGTGGCTGTAAAGATCACTAAATCTTGTGGTTTCAAAAATCACTGAATCTTGTGGCTGTAAAGATCACTAAATCTTGTGGCTGCAAAGATCACTAAATCTTGTGGCTGTAAAGATCACTAAATCTTGTGGCTGTAAAGATCACTAAATTTTGTGGCTGTAAAGATCCCTAAATCTTGTGGCTGCAAAGATCACTAAATCTTGTGGCTGTAAAGATCACTAAATCTTGTGGCTGTAAAGATCACTAAATCTTGTGGCTGTAAAGATCACTAAATCTTGTGGTTTCAAAAATCACTGAATCTTGTGGCTGTAAAGATCACTAAATCTTGTGGCTGCAAAGATCACTAAATTTTGTTGCTGTAAAGAGCACTAAATCTTGTGGCTGTAAAGATCACTAAATCTCGTGGCTGCAAAGATCACTAAATCTTGTGGCTGCAAAGATCACTAAATCTCGTGGCTGTAAAGATCACTAAATCTTGTGGCTGTAAAGATCACTAAATCTTGTGGCTGCAAAGATCACTAAATCTTGTGGCTGTAAAGATCACTAAATCATGTGGCTGTAAAGATCACTAAATTTTGTGGCTGTAAAGATCACTAAATCTTGTTGCTGCAAAGATCACTAAATCTTGTGGCTGCAAAGATCGCCAAATCTTGTGGCTGCAAAGATCACTAAATCTTCTCAAAGCAAATCTCACTAACTCGCGTTGTAACGACGGGTAACAAAATCGAATCCCACAAGGTTCATTAACTCCAGCCAAATGTTCTCCAACAAGGTTCACTAACTCTGCAAGATTTATTTTTCTCTTAATTCCTACCAGAGTCCTCTTCTACAATACCCATCAAAAACAAACTTCAACTGCGCCTGATTAAATTTGATGCAGGCGACACAGATGACCTGCCGTGGAGCGGTCTGTGATCTTCTAATGTCACTCTCGCTTTGATCTTATCTGCTGGTTAGCTCGATATCCTCGAGCCGGTTGTGTTTGCCGGAAATATTGTTTTAACTTAGCGTGTATTCAAACTCATATCATAGGTCATTGCGCATGCGTGTAGTTATTTGGGCGTGTTAGGATGTTGATAGGGAAAAAATACCACAATACCAATATTAAGGTCAAAAGTGTACTAATTACCTAATTAGACCCTGTATGATAAGTCGCTAATTATATAATAACTAGCATCTAGGGAAAGCTTACTATTACTGTATACTATAGAATCAATCACACACAGCGTTTAAACACGCCTCTACCTAATTGTTCACCAACTACTTACGTAAGCCGATTACTTCAAAAGACGATTTCATTTATTATTAACACGTGCTCTGTGCACTTGACTCACTGACGTCACGTCAGAGGGCCCCAGCCTCCCACCTACTTGACCCCCTCCCCCACCTCCTCAACATGGTCGAAATTATTTATTTAACAACCTTAAGCGACTGCTTATCTGACCACACTACCCTTCCCCTCCCAACCCACCCCACAACTTTCTCCGAAATTATTTAACAACCTTCAGTGACTACTAATTTAGCCTCAGCTAACCGTGCCCCCCCCCCCCCCCGACCCCCCCCCCCCCCCCCGACCCCCCACTTCCCCCAACTTTCTCCGAAAATAATTTAACAATTTTTCTGGACTTCTAATCTGACCACTCTCCCTCCCCCTAATATCCCCCCCCCCCCCCAACTTTCTCCGAAAATAATTTAACAATTTTCCTGGACCACTAATCTGGCCACTACCGTCTTGACTTCTGGGTCGACCACTATCGCTCACGTCCTCGCCTTAATTGCCGCCCGTTGTGGCTGCTAATCTAATTAACATGAACTCTACCACGGCGTGAGAGGGAAAAGGGGCTTAAGTTACCCTGGCTACTAATTTAACAACTAGAATTGTGACCATAGGCGCCTACGGGAACTGTTGTTGGAAGGTCAGCTTTACAGACTAGTTCCAAGATATATAGCACACACACACACACACACATATATATATATATATATATATATATATATATATATATATATATATATATATATATATATATATATATATATATGCGTATTTTTAGCCCCCGCTTCGTTCCCATGTTGATTCTTTTGGGTGTTTTGACCTTTGTAACTGTCGTCTATAGTAAAAATAAACTGCACTTACTGTAACGTAATTAGTTGCTAGTTCCAAAGTTAGGTGTGTACTGTGCTAGTTATTTTTTTTCAAAATTAGTTTTATGTACCATTGGTGAAGGGTGTTGTAAGATAATCAGTTGTAATTGATACCACCGTCCACCTTAATTGTGACCCCTATTAAAGCCTAAAAAAATTAGAGCTTGAAATGCTTTCTCTATTTTCGATGAGAACGCATTCGTTTTTTAATGCCGTAAAAGCCAAATTAAAGTGATGTCTCACTCGCCTCCAAAACCAATCACTAGAACTGTGGTCACATATAAACTGAGCAACACTACCAAAAAGGGGCGGGAATACCACCCCACCAGTACCCCCGGCTACTAAACTGGTCACTATAACTGTGACCGCATATTAACTGAGCAACGCTACAAATAAAGGGCTAACATTACCCCCGGCTACTAAACTGGTCACTATAACTGTGACCACAACTTAACTGAGCAACGCTATTTTTCAAAATGGGCTGACATTACCCCCGGCTACTAAACTAGTAACAATGTGACCAGATATTAACTAAGAAACGCTATAAAAAGGGGAAGGGCTGACAAAATGGCTGACATTACCCCTGACTACTGAACTAGTCACTATGTGACCACAGATTAACTGAGCAACGCTACAAAAAAAAAGGGGCTGGCATTACCCGCGGCTACTAAACTATTCACTATAACTGTGACCACAGATTATCTCTGCCACGCTACAAAATAAAATATAAAAAATGGGGCTGACATTACCCCCGGCTACTGAACTAGTCACTATGTGACCACAGATTAACTGAGCAACGCTCAGAGTTTCTTCCAGGCATATCTTCGGGGGGGCTAAGACCCCCCCCCCCCCGAAATTTTTTTACCCCCCCCCCCCCCCCGAACGAAATGAAATTTATATAATTTATATAGAAAATATATACTTTTAACAGTGTCCGCCCCCCCCCCCCCCCCCGAAGAAAGTTTACCGCCCCCCCCCCCCCCCGAAAATTTCAAGAGCACCCTCGGAGAAAAATGTCTGGAAGAAAGACTGGCAACGCTACAACAAAAAAGGGGACTGAAAATACCCCCGGCTGCTAAACTAGTTATTATAACATAACTGTGACCACATATGAACTGAGCAACGCTACCAAAAAAAAAGGGGAGGGGGGTGCTGACATTACCCGCGGCTACTAAACTAGTTACTATAACTGTGACCACAGATTATCTCTGCCACGCTACAAAAAAAAAATGGGGCTCGCGGTGCCCTGGCTACTAAACTAGTCACTATGTGACCACAGATTAACTGAGCAGCGCTACAACAAAAAAAGGGGCCCGCGGTGCCCTGGCTACTAAATTGGCCCACGTGCCAGAGTCCCAGAATACAACCCATGACAACAGAGGATTATAGAAAATTGTTTCTGGGGGGATCCGTTGTGGTGCGAGGAAATTGTGTCAGCAGGGACCCCGGTGACGGGGGGTGGGGGGATGCCAAGTTGGGGCGGGGTGGGGTGGATGCCAAGTTGGGGCGGGGGGAGGGGGTAGTCACTGAAAGCGGTTTTAGGTCTGTCACGTCACGATCGATGGAGCGAAATCTGAGCGAGTTCATTAGCATCGGGTTCCGTCTTAGTTCTCTTCAATAAATTAATAGGGCGGTGGTGGTGGTGGTGTGTGAGGTTTTTTTTTTTTAGCGTTAACTGAGGTGTTGTAGAACAGTTGTATTCGATCGCTGAGTGCTGCATTGTGGGTATAGGTGATGGCGTTTGAAGGTTGAAGGCGGCAGGTGACTTGTGATGAAAGGTGTATCAACAGTTAGCTAGTCCGTATCACCTAGGTGGCTTGCTATATTAGCTGATAGCTAGTTGTATAAAAAACGTGGCTTGTTATGATAGTGAAGTGACGGGTGGCTAATTGAAACAGCTGTGTTAAATTGCTAGTTGTGTGTAGTAGGACATGATGAAATGTGTATGAGTAGGTAGTTGATATTACATAATCTAAAACAACATACCTGACACCATGACACCTTACTTGAAAACCACCTTGAACACGTTATTTAACACCCTAATACTCTGCCCAACACCCGCTATATTGCCATGTAATACCACCATGAACACCTTATATAAGACCATATTTATCTCCTTCCTGACACCGTTTAACACCATTCCAACACCATGTGTAATAACACCACTAACACCCTTACACTCTACCAACACCAGTTTTATCGTCCCCTCTAATATCACCATTAACTCCTTATATACACCATATTTATCACTTTCTGAACACCATCACAAACGTTTAACACTATTCTAACACCATGCCTTACACCACCGCTAACACCCTCTATAAAGCCACCACTAACACCTGCACTATCATTCCCTAACACCACCATTAAAAACACCCATATAACACCGTATTTAGCACCCTTCCTAACCCTATCAAAAACACAATTTTTCAACACCATTTCTACCCCAACTACAAACACCCCTTAATACCACCACCAACACCCTCAGCAACACCATTATTAACACCACCATATAAGCCTATAGCATATTTCTCTGTAAAGAACCCACCTCGAACCCGCCCCGCCTCCAGCTATCAACAAGCTCTTGAAACTTTTCCCTATCGAACATCCATGGATCGAATCCGTATTGAGCCGTGGATCCTACCGGCCTCTCACCTCTAACACAAACTTGTCACGACAAGTCATGTAGTGTCAAGTCCAACCGCCAAGTGTCCGAAAATGCTGCAGATGATCAAATCGTATTGCCAAAAGTCCAATTCTCAACTCTCCAGAGTCCAAGAGTCCGATGGCAGCTTCTTCGAGAGTTACACGTCACTGGCCTGGAGACAGGAGAACAAGAGACTGCGGGCTGCCAGTGAGGTGAGTCTTATACTTGTTGTTTCTCTCGCTCGCTCTCTCTCTCTCTCTCTCTCTCTCTCTCTCTCTATATATATATATATATATATATATATATATATATATATATATATATATATATATATATATATATATATATATATATATATATATATATATATATATATATATATATATATATATATAGGCCTATATATATACATATATATATATATATATATATATATATATATATATATATATATATATATATATTCAGCTAATATTATATATATATATATATATATATATATATATATATATATATATATATATATGTGTGTGTGTGTGTGTGTATATGTATATGTATATATATATATATATATATATATATATATATATATATATATATATATATATATATATATATATATGTTATTATATATTTATATATATCTTTAGAATGTTGTTAACTCTGATGGGACGGCGTGACCTAGCGGTAGAGCTCTAGGCTGCTAACCCGAAAGTCTCGAGTTCGTATCCGGGTCCAAGTCAGTAGAACGTCCACCCAGTTCTAATGTTAGGGAAAGTAAAGGCGGCCAAAATGGATCGCTAGGCCTTAAAATGATTCTTTAGTTAAACCCTAGCGGAGACCTGAGGTCGGAACATCTTTGGTTTCTTTTTGTCTGTGTTTCTTCTAAATGTGTAATACAAACGGTAGCTGCAGATAACCAACACTACTTGTTTTATTTCTAATTTTAAATGTATAGAGACAGCTGTGCCAGACACATGGGGTCGAATCCAGTGTTTCTTTCAGGAACTCTCTGGGGGGGGGGGGAGAAGAGGGGAGGTCACCGCCATCGCACTGCCGAACGAAATGCATATTTTATATAGATAATATATTCTTTAAGCAGTGTCCCCCCCCCGAAAATTTGCCCCACTATGTAAATATCAAGTGCCCCCCACCCCCACCCCATAATTGCTTTCAGGCATCTCTTCTTCTACCGCTTCCTCCTCTCCCCCCCCCCACCCTCGCCAAAGAACAAAACAGAATTTATATACAAAATATATTTCAACCAGTGTCCTCCGCCCCACCCCCCTCCGGAAATTTAAGTCCGCCTCCCACTCCACCCCGAATGCTCCAAAGTCTCCCCCTTCCTCGAAAAAATGTCTGAAAGAACCTCCATTCGGAATGTTTTGTCTTGTTTTGTTTATTTTATCTTGTATCTTCTAAAATTTATGACGATGTCTAGTACTAACGGAGACCGGATGTTGAAATACTCTTTTGTTTAATTTTTACCTTTCTTTCTCTTACCCGTCTTCATTTTGTGAACATAGATAGGAAACATACAGTACAGTAAATCCTATTATGATAATAGATAAACACACCTGGATATACCCTGAACTTTTACACTGACAGAATAAACATAACGCTCAACTTAAGAGTCAAACAAAAAAAGTTCACAGGAAAACTAAGCACTCTTACCTACAAGAAAAATTCACATTGATAACTCAAAAAGTCGTTACACATAGACCTGAAACAAAACACAAACTCACGCAACGTAACGTTACAAGATAGGCCTATATCCAGACATGAGAATGTCATTAGATGACATGAAATGTCATCAATAACTAAATGTTATTTGTCATCCTCTTCTCATTCTCTAATACCAAGACGATTGTAGAATGTTATCTACCCCCCCCCCCCACCCACTCACACCCACACACACATTCCATCACAGCTCTGTTTTTGTCAGAGTAACAATCGACGGCTGGCCGCAGTAATCCATCACTTGTGTATTAATGCGCGTTACCTTCTTCTAGAACTTTCCTTTTTCCCAAAAAGAAACTCGACCAGGCATCGCGGCTCCATCTTCAAATATTAATTCGTTTTCGTCCTTCATGTTTTTTACACATTTTTATTTCACTGTTCTTCCCTCCCCTTTTCACCAATTATGTTTTTGCTTTGGGACAACTCACAACGGTTTTATTCTTTTCTTTTGAAGAATAAAAAACACAAATCTTAAAGTCAAATAAATTATAACGAAACAAAACAAAATTATCGATCCATAATTTCTTTCTGAAGAGAAAAGAAAGTCATTTTTTTTAAATAGTTAATTACGTTTCGCAATGTTTTTTAAAGGAAATGATTTTAATGTTAAAAGGTTTCAAATGTTCAAAAGGAAACGAATCAAAGTGAAGAAAATTACGACTAAGATATTTTTTTAAATTTTTTATTTTATTTTTGAAACATCTAAGTGAAGAACGTGTCGAGTTAAAAGTGATTATAATTTATAAAACCCGTTAAAGTGATTAATTACACTTATAATTTGAAAACCTCGATTATCTCAATATGATATTTCTCCACGGTAGGGCATGGCCTTATGGCAATTCTAACATAAAAGAACTCGATTATCCTTAAACTTGGATCAATACCTGCTCCGTCCCTGCGGGCGATACCGTACTCGATAGTTACAACAGGTCGATCCCGCCTTTACCCTCTAATTATTTCTCTATTTGCGGGGAGCGTGGAAAAGCTGTCAGTGTGTTATGTTTAGGAGGGGGGGGGTGTGGGAATTAGTGGCGTCAGGGCGTCGTTGGTGGCGTTATTATAGGCGTCATTTGGGGGTATCTGTCAGGGCGTCATTTGAAGCGTCATCCAAGGCGTCATTTGTGGCGTCGTTTGGTATCCAAGGAGTCAGTCATAGCGTCATTTGGAGCGTCATTTGAGGCATCAGTCAGAGCATCATTTCGGACATCAGTCCGGGAGTCATTAGTGGCGTCAGTAAGTACGTCGTTTGTGCTTCATTAGAAAGTCTTTGGATGCGTTAGTGTAGGCGTCACTGCGGACTCCATTGACGACGTGGCACTTCATTGATAGCTATGGCTACCACTTGACTGTTGATGACCCGTTTGTTGATGACCCGAATTTCGATGACCCATTTGTTAACGACCCGAGTTTTCCTGGTTTCGTTTAGGCTGTGGGGGTCGGCGTGGTCGAGTCGGTAAAGCTCATGGTTGCTAAACCGAAAAGTCTCGAGTTCGAACCCTCAATGGGCAGATGAGGCTCGTTAGCTGGGGACAGCTACTCTTCTAGGAGAGACAACTCCAAAATTAAACAACTGCTGCCTTGCAGTTTGTTCTTGGTAGGACAAAGGCTATGGAAGCAAATCCAAAAAGAAAAGCAGGCTGAAATCGGAGTCAATGGCCTCAATGGCGCATAACCAGTTGACACGTATCCTTAATTGTGATGGAGGCGTGAAAAAAGCTCATAGTTGATACATTCGAAAAAAAAAGTCTCGAGTTCAAACCCTCTGGCAGATAAGGCTCGATCCCTTCCAACACTAAAAATTAAGAACGAAGAAGAAGAAGTTTAGGCTGTTACTTTTGTCCCTGCTGTCCTATCCATTCCGCTAATTAAAAAAAATATATCGCCCACTCTGTCCAGCAAAAAATGTTGACCAGTGTTGTTCGGTGATGTCCATTCAATGACTCCGCATAGCAGTATTGATTAGCCGTCGTTACCAATGCCCCACATACTCCAAGTACAAACTAGTGTAGACAGCCACTCCATCTCCCCAGACACATAAGTCGACACCTTTCTACTAGATTAGAAAGCCAAAAACAAATAAAATACCCAAAATCGCCAAAAAAATAAAGTTTTTCGTTCCTTTTTTGTGCTCAATTTTTGTTAATACGCAACTCTATTTTAAATAAAACGGGAGTTATCTCCCCTAAGCTTTCTCGAATATTCTTAGATAACACTAATGGTGATGGCAACTCCAGTGCAATCAGTATATAGTCAATCTGTCTGTCGACAGTCTATCGTCATAGATCGAAACGGCGTGCGAAATTTCGGGCATGTCTAACAGATTCGTTTCGAAGTTGGCATGTGGGTCAAGACTTGCAGACAATGCAATCTGACGTCAAATTTGCCTTAATTAGGTGCCTAATTAGTTTTTTATAAGTTAATTAAAATTTCTGAAATTAGTAGGGAGTCTTGTGCTACTCTTTCCGCACTATTATACGTGCTTTATTATGTTCATTTGGTGAACAATAGTTTTTATTCACGCAACTCTATTGTATTAAAATTTTAGAGTATTGAAAAAAATTGCATTAAAAAACGTTTTAATAACAAGCTTTTATGTAATAATGCACTAAAAAGGAGAAAATGAATGATTTTACTATGAATATATAATAATACACTACTATTTCAAAATACTCTTAAGAAAAGCGTAGGTCTCTTCGTAAATATTAGTAAAGGTATCCAATAGATAAAATAGTCTATTAGTGCTTTGATCTTTTTATGTGAAATGTAGTTTTCGCGTAAATTTTCATCAAGATGAGGATGCAGAATAAAAATTTTAAGCTGTGGTTAGAGGGGGGATGTGCCCTTTTAAAATTTCCCGGGCCGCTTTGAAACAGCCAGTCCTTCTCTGCGTACACTTAATGACACACACGAACTTCCCTACAACTACTTACACTGGCTACAACTACTTACACTGAACTTCCTAATACCTAATTACACTAAACTCTCTTACACATAATTGGACCTTCACTGCAGAGACGTAGCGACTCATTCCGGCGCCCGGGGCGAACTATCAAATTAGCGCCATATGGGCTTAAAAAAAGCGCCCCTCCCCCCTTATTTTAATCACTATCCCTTGACAGTTGTTATTAAGATGTCACAAAATTGTAAACAGTTAAGTCAGTCAGGAAAGCGAAGTAGTTGTCTATTTTATTTAACTTTAGTTGTGTATCATTCAATAGTGTGTAATGTGTATCATTCAATAATGTGTAATGTGTATCATTCAATAATGTATGATGTGTATCATTCAATAATACAGCTCAGATTTAGTTTATTAATTATTATTTTTACCCCGTTTGGCGACCCCTTAGGGTCGGCGCCCCGGGCAGTCGCCCCACCCGTGCTCCCTTAGCTACGCCTCTTCTACACTGAACTCTGCATGTTATACACAGTACCCACGATATCTATAGATATATAATTCTCTTCATGGAGGGAC